CAAGTGCTTCCTGAGGACGGAGAAATGGAAGTCTCTCTGGGCTTGCGGGCACTTTCCTGACAGGGAGGGAGGTGCCTCCGCAAGGGGTAGGAAGCCCACCGGGCAGCCGTGCATGTCCAGTCCCGGCCGTGAGCCCAGCTCCGGAGCGGAAGCTGGGGAAGGAGTTTTCTCATCTGTAAAATGAGGTTAATAGCACCAGCCGTACAGGATTGATAGAAGATTCGAGGACTGTGAAACGTCAGCCAAAGGGATAGTTACGACTCTCTTACGGGCGAGGAGACTGAAGCCCAGAGAGGTTAAGTAATGTGCCCTAGGTCACACAGCTCAGCACTCAATCCAGGGACCCCTTTGCCTTCAGCATCGTGCTTCTTACTGTCTGCACTGCAGCTGGGGCTCATGGCACCTGAAACCCACCGACTGAACGGCAGTTCAGTCGTGAAGGTATAATCATCCCATTTTACAGATGAGATACTGAGGCCCAGGGCGGCCTGCCTGAGGAACCCCGGTGAGGCGGAGGAAGTGACAGGATTCAGTGCCCCGCCCCCGGAGGTGGCAGGCTTGGTCTCAGAGGGCAGAGTGGTAGCAGCCCGTCTCTGGGATGCCCGGCCTGGTGCTGTCTTCCAGCAGAGAGAGGTGAGGCGACCGCTTGCCCCGTGAGTTCCGGCTGGGTCCCAGGAGTCCTCTGTCCTCCTCATCCTGGGTAATGGCATTGACACGGACAGTGACAATGGCACTTCGGGGAGCCTTGGCCAGCCTGGCCCAGGGAAGAGCCCATGCCAGGCCTTAGCAGCAGCAACAGATGACATTTCCCCGGCTAAGCCTTACGTCCCTGCTCCCGGGAGCTGGAACGTGGACGGCACCTCCGCTACCTGTTCCCCAGATTGCACCACCGTCCCCACCACCGGCCTCCCCATGGGAGCCTCCTGCCCTGTACGGTGGATTTGTCCCCACGTCCTGGCGTTCCGTGGGAGCCCTGGGAGATAGATAGGGGGCACCCACCTTGCATGCAGGTGGAGGAAGGAGGTTCAGGGTTGGCCAGCCCTGCCGACCCGGCTCCCCCATCCCTCAGCCGGGGGAACACTCCCGGCGGACCTCGTCCCGGCCACCCGCTCACCCGGGCCAGGCGAGTGCCGGACAATGTGCTGTGCGTCCCCAGCAGGCTCTGCCCGGTGTCCCGGGTGAGCTGAGCGGGGAGCCCATGCGGGGCGGTGAGCTCCCGGATCAAGATCTGCCCTGGGTCCTCCGCCGCTGGCACGTGAGACCCATCCCCGGGCCTGGCGTCCCTTTCCCCTCTGGGAAGGGCTGGGGTTGGGCGGAGCAAGGGCTCTTCATTCTTCCAGCTCCGAGGCTCTAGGATCCTGAGTCCGTGGAGGCGCCCCGAGCCTCGTGGCACCCGGAGGGACGGGGCCCAGCAGCCAGCTGGGTCAACCGGTGGCTTCTGGGCGGGGGCGGGGGAGGGGGCGCGCAATTTGCTGAGAGCGACTCCCCTTCTGTGGCCGTGCGGCTCTGAACTGGCCCCTCAGACGCGTCGGGTCTTGCCGCCTCTTCTCTCCCCTTCTAAGCGTGTCACCGTGACAGGGGACGTCTGCGGCCACAGCTAGACTGGGGGCCCGCCCCCAGGTCCCGCTACAGTGCCCTGCTCCCCAACTTTGCCGCGTTTCTTCTCCGTGCTGGTGGGACAGAGGGGCCCTTGAGGCGGTGTCTTGGGACACTCTGGGCCTGCCCCTGCTCGGGCCAGAAGTGGCTAGTTCCTGCCACCCCTGCGTGCCCTGGGGCAGACCTAGTGCTGGGTGGGGGTGGGGGGCTGGGTGTATGGGGAGGGTCCCTTCAGGCTGGGTCAGCCCGGAGCGCCGCTCTCGGCCGGATGCTGCGCGCCTTCAGCCCACACAGCCTGCTTCCCCGCGGGCCAGGCCCTCCCAGGTTTAACACCCCTGGTGCGGGCCGTGCAGGCCTCTGCTTCCAACAGCTACTTCCGGCCGCTTGCCCCTCCCTCTGCACTGGTCACTGGCTGCATTTCAGCGCCTGGGGGGGTGGGCAGCAGGTTCGGTGCCCCTCATCGTCTCCCTGAGCTTCTCTGCCGATTGGTTCCTGTCTCAGATGCTCCCTTTCCATCCATCTCCATCCTTGGCCTCTCAGTGTTGTGCTTCCCCGTTCTTCTTAGCCCTGGCCTCCTGTCCGCAGCTCCCTCACTCCTTCCTCTCCCTCCACCGTCCCCCAGGAGTGCGGGGCAGGGCCCTGGTCCTCCTGCTAATGCGCGAACGGGGCGACCGCCGTGACCACTGGGACCCCCCCCCGACTCCAGCTGCGAGCGGGCAGCCTCCCCCACACCTTGAGTGGGTGTGCAGCCGGGCCGGGGGCCAAGTGCCGTCAGCACCTCCTTCCCCTTGCTGTCCCCCTTCCCTGGCTGCGACAGGCCTCGAGCGGTGGTGGGCAGGCGGCCCAGGGACAGGGACCGAGTGGCTGACGCACACGGGGCAGTGTGATGGGGCGTCTCCTCCCCTTTGGTCTGAGTCATGGGAAGGGTGGGAGGGTGAGGGGAGCTGGGCCCTGGCCCAGGCCATTCTGGGGATGGGAAAGAGCAGGAGAGAGGGCCATGGGCAAGGTCACCTTGAGGGCTCGGCTGCACAGAGCTCAGAGGGGCTGGGGTGGGGGCTTCTGTCTACCCTGGACTGTTTGGGATGGGAAGAGGGGAGATGATAAGACTAGCCCCTGTCCCCAAGCCTGGGTGCCTTCTCCTGGTCCCCTTCCCCTCCCTCTCGACCTCTTCACATCCCCTCAGCATGGCCTTGGATCTCCAGAGGCTCTGGCCAGCTCAGCTCTGCCCTGATGCCCTGGGCTTGGCTGGAGGGTGCTGGCGTGTGCAACTCAGATATGGGGACAGGTTACGGGGAAGGGGTGGGGGGTGCTCTGTGTGGCTAAAGTTGCACCTGTGCTCACATACATATACATGTGGAACGCACACGTGTGCTTGAACAGGTTGACACGTAAGCAGGTGCATCCCCAAGACGCGCCTCCACGCACCCCTTCCCGCCCCCTGCGCACACGAGCGTGCTCACCTTCACCTACGGGGACTCCCGTGGCTGGCACGGGCACGCGTGCAGCCCACACGGCTGCCTGCACACCCGTCTCCTCGTACACGCCTACCCGCACACCCCTGCACTGGCGTTCTGAGCCCGCGCGCACCTGCCTGCATGCCAGTGCGGTCCCCAGACATCCCCAGGCGGAGGTGGTGCAGACAGAGAGGGTTCTCTGACAGGGCGGATGGACGCCTCAGCCTCCTCCAGCACAACCTTTTTGCCCGTGCGACGGAACCGGGAGGGAGGGGGGAAACCGAGGCCCTAAGGAGCCAGGAGCCATGTTAGACGGGAGCTTAGGCCTCCTGACTCCAGCCCCGAGACTGCGCGGCACAGCCGAGGGCAGACGTGCTGTGTGCCGCCTGGGCACCCCTTTCTGCCTGACCTGCTTGTCCCCCTGCCCCGCTCTCCCGGCTGTCCAGCCCAAACTGGCCCTGCAGGGGACCGGGAGGTCCTGACTGTCACAGGCTCGGTCGCCACGTCCGCCTTTAATCCAAGAGGTCATCGAACACCCCGTTCACCTGCCAGCTCCTCAACAAATACTGTCTGTCTGGACTTGTTTGGGGTCTGTTTCCCTCCTTCCTTTCCCCGCCTCTGTTCCAGCCCTCTGGGGCTCAGAGCTGTAAATCGCTTTTGCTTCAACAGCCAAGGTTTGTGTGTATACACACACACACACACACACACACACCCGGAGCCACATCTGGCTGAGCGGCCGGCCTTGCCTGGCTTTGCTGGGCGGCTGAGGCCAGTCCCCCCTGGTCTGGGGCTCAGTTTCCCCACCTGTAAAGTGAGGATCTGCGGCCCGGGAACTCTGTGCCACTTGGGGCATGGGCAGCTTGGCTCACCTTACTTGTTCCGCATCGGATGGCCGGGCCTGGTCCTCGCTGGTGGCACCGGTTTCAGATACGGTCGTCTCCATCTGGCTAATAGGGCTGGGTAGAGGGGGCTCCAGGCCTCCTGTGTCTTCCTGCCTAGGGAACCTCCATCCTGTGCTGCCCCTGTCTGGGCCCCTGACTCCAGCCGCAGAGGGGACCCAGGGCTTCAGCCACACCCTTCCAGATGCCTTCAGGTTCATCATCCGCCCGAGGCCTTCTCACCCCAGGATCAGGGAACCTCTAATGGAAGGCACTTTGGGGGAAGTGATATTGGGGGTGTGTCTGGCTTCCCGGGCTCTTGCCCTCTCTCCCTCTGCTCTGCTCCTGCCTGTAGGATGCATTTTCCCCACGCCCTCCCCCTGCAGGAGACCCCGGCCTCTGCGTGCCCCTGCTTGAGGGGGGGGTGGCGCCCAAAGCCATGCCACTCCGCTCCCCCTCCCCCATGGAAGCTGAGACAAGGGAATTATTTTTGGAACAGGAGCGGTTACACAACAAATGAATTATTTATCTTTGGGCATGGAGGGGAGGAGGCATTTTGCCGGGCTTCTTAATTCCTTATCTGGATTGGAAGGTGCCCGCTTGGGTATATGGTCATGTGTACACGCACCCATTTGTCAAACATGAGACTGTGGGCATGCTGTGGTGTTCTGGCTCAGGTGTGGGCATATGGGTCTTTGTGCGGGCAGGTGGACGAGTGTGGACAGGAGTGCTGGTGTGTGTGTGTGTGTGTGTGTGTGTGTGTGTGTGTGTGTGCACCCAACCTATTAACCGTCCAGTCTCCCTTCTCCGTCCACCGTCCGCAGATTCTGCCCCCCTCTCCCTACTCCTGGTTTCTTCTGTCTCCTTCCTTCCAGACCTCTCGGTCCCCCCCTCCCTCTCGTTGCCCGCCCCCACCCCCGTTCTTCTATGTAACAGGGACCCTAGAGTGCTGCAGGCACCCGGGACGCCCAGCGGGCTGGGGTGGAGAAGGGACAGGGGCCTGTGCTGGAGCTTAGTGGGGCTGTTCTGAGCTTTCACTGATCTGTCCCCCCCTCTCGGCGCTGCCTTTCAGGAGCCAGGTGACAGATGGGTCCTTTCCTTCCTGCCCCGTCTCTCGAGCTCCCTCCTCAGAGGCTCACTCTCCAGCCTCCCATGGGCATCGTGGGAATCGTCTGAAGTTCTGAGCCCGGAACCCGAGGAGGAGGAGGAAGAAGAGGAAGAGGAGGAGGAGGGAGAGGAAGTCGAGTCCTGAGAACCTGTGCACCTTCCCGGAAACAGGCGGAGGGGCGCGGCCCGGCCCGGTCACGGCGCCCGGCGCCTGCTGGTAGTGCCCCCGGCGGACCCTCCCGCGGTTGGCACGGGCCGCGTCTGCTTCGCCCGGGGCCCCCCCGCGCTGGGGGTCGCCCCCAAGATGGTGGCGGCCCCGGGGAGGACTGTGCCGCCAGCCCCAGCCTCCCGCTGCTAGGTCCCCCGCACCCCGGCCCCTCCCCCCCGAGCCCGGCCTTCCAGGGGGGCCGCGGCCGGCGCCATGCTGCGCCTGGGGCTGTGCGCCGCCGCGCTGCTGTGCGTGTGCCGGCCGGGCGCCGTGCGTGCCGACTGCTGGCTCATCGAGGGCGACAAGGGGTACGTGTGGCTGGCCATCTGCAGCCAGAACCAGCCGCCCTACGAGACCATCCCGCAGCACATCAACAGCACCGTGCACGACCTGCGGCTCAACGAGAACAAGCTCAAGGCCGTGCTCTATTCGTCGCTGAACCGCTTCGGGAACCTCACCGACCTCAACCTCACCAAGAACGAGATCTCCTACATCGAGGACGGCGCCTTCCTGGGCCAGTCGAGCCTGCAGGTGCTGCAGCTCGGCTACAACAAGCTCAGCAACCTGACCGAGGGCATGCTGCGCGGCATGGGCCGCCTGCAGTTCCTGTTCGTGCAGCACAACCTCATCGAGGTGGTGACGCCCGCCGCCTTCTCCGAGTGCCCGAGCCTCATCAGCATCGACCTGTCCTCCAACCGCCTCAGCCGCCTGGACGGCGCCACCTTCGCCAGCCTGGCCAGCCTCATGGTGTGCGAGCTGGCCGGCAACCCCTTCAACTGCGAGTGCGACCTCTTCGGCTTCCTCGCCTGGCTGGTGGTCTTCAACAACGTCACCAAGAACTACGACCGCCTGCAGTGCGAGTCGCCGCGCGAGTTCGCCGGCTACCCGCTGCTGGTGCCCCGGCCCTACCACAGCCTCAACGCCATCACCGTGCTCCAGGCCAAGTGCCGCAACGGCTCGCTGCCCGCCCGGCCCGCGAGCCACCCCACGCCCTACTCCACCGACGCCCAGCGGGAGCCGGACGAGAACTCGGGCTTCAACCCCGACGAGATCCTGTCGGTGGAGCCGCCGGCCTCGTCCACCACGGATGCGTCTGCGGGGCCGGCCATCAAGCTGCACCACGTGGCCTTCACCTCGGCCACGCTGGTGGTCACCATCCCGCACCCCTACAGCAAGATGTACGTCCTGGTCCAGTACAACAACAGCTACTTCTCCGACGTCATGACGCTCAAGAACAAGAAGGAGATCGTGACGCTCGACAAGCTGCGCGCGCACACCGAGTACACGTTCTGCGTGACCTCGCTGCGCAACAGCCGCCGCTTCAACCACACCTGCCTGACCTTCGCCACGCGGGACCCCGTCCCCGGCGACCTGGCGCCCAGCACCTCCACCACCACCCACTACATCATGACCATCCTGGGCTGCCTCTTCGGCATGGTCATCGTGCTGGGCGCCGTCTACTACTGCCTGCGCAAACGGCGCATGCAGGAGGAGAAGCAGAAGTCCGTCAAGGTCAAGAAGACCATCCTGGAGATGCGCTACGGGGCCGACGTGGATGCCGGCTCCGTGGTCCACGCCGCCCAGAAGCTGGGCGAGCCCCCCGTGCTGCCCGTGCCCTGCATGCCTTCCATCCCCTCCGTGATCGGGGAGAAGCTTCCCGCCCCCAAGGGGCTGGAGGCCGGGCTGGACACGCCCAAGGTGGCCACCAAGGGCAACTACATCGAGGTGCGCACCGGCGCGGGCGGGGACGGCCTGGCCCGGCCCGAGGATGACCTCCCGGACCTGGAGAACGGCCAGGGCTCGGCCGCCGAGATCTCCACCATCGCCAAGGAGGTGGACAAGGTCAACCAGATCATTAACAACTGCATCGACGCCCTCAAGCTGGACGCGGCCTCGTTCCTCGGGGGAGGCGGCGGCGGCGGCGGCGGCGGGGGCGCCTACCACGAGAGCGTGCACCACCCGCTACAGCGCCAGCTGAGCGCCGACGCCGCCGTGGCGCGCAAGACCTGCAGCGTCTCGTCCAGCGGCTCCATCAAGAGCGCCAAGGTCTTCAGCCTGGACGTGCCCGACCACCCGGCCGCCGCGGGGCTGGCCAAGGGCGACTCCAAGTATATCGAGAAGGGCAGCCCCCTCAACAGCCCGCTGGACCGGCTCCCGCTGGTGCCCGCGGGCGGCGGCGGGGGCGGCGGGGGCGGCGGGGTCCATCACCTGGAGGTGAAGCCCGCCTACCACTGCAGCGAGCACCGGCACAGCTTCCCGGCCCTGTACTACGAGGAGGGCGCCGACAGCCTGAGCCAGCGCGTGTCCTTCCTCAAGCCGCTGACCCGCTCCAAGCGGGACTCCGCCTACTCCCAGCTCTCCCCCAGACACTACTACTCAGGTTACTCCTCCAGCCCTGAGTACTCCTCCGAGAGCACGCACAAGATCTGGGAGCGCTTCCGGCCCTACAAGAAGCACCACCGGGAGGAGGTGTACGTGGCCGCCGGCCACGCCCTGCGCAAGAAGGTCCAGTTCGCCAAGGACGAGGACCTGCACGACATCCTCGATTACTGGAAAGGGGTCTCGGCCCAGCAGAAGCTGTGACCCTCTCCTTCCCGGTGAGGCCGGAGGGGGAGGGCCCCGGGGGGGGCACGAGGGGAAGGGCCCCGGGCGGCCGGGCAGGGGGGAGGCCGGGGCAGGGGGGGGGGCGGGGGAGGGGGGGCCGGGGCCGAGGAGCGGACGCACACGCACACCCGCACGCACGCACCCACGCACACACCTGACCACCACCTGACTGTGAACAACCCCCACCCGACAATAACGGACAGGAAAACAAAGACACGTTCTCCTTAAAAGTTTACACACTGATACCGAAACCAGTCATCTTTACTGTGCTGCCCGGGGACTCTGCTGGGGTGTGCGGGGCTGGGAGGGGGCGCAGGCCAGGAAGCCAGAAGGGGGTGTGTGGGGGTCTGGGGGCTCTGGGACTCGGGCCGGGTTTGGGGGCAGGGGAGTCTGGGGGGCAGGAAGAGGGTCTCCCCATCTGGGGACAGGTCGCTTGGAGATCTGGCGCCAGGCAGATTCGCGGCATCATTGCCTTTCCTTGTGGTGGGGGAAACCGAGGCCCAGAGAAAAGGAAGGGATAGCCCCAGGGCCACGTGTCGGGTTAGGCAGTTTCCCAACTTTCAAGCCCAGTGCTGTTCCCCGCCCCCCCCCCCCCGACCCTTCGCCAGCCTGCCACCCCCTTCCAGAGCTGCGGTTTCCTGGGGCGGAGGGACTCGAGAATCAGGCTGGTGCTCTTCCTTTCTAGAAAGCCCCATGGCTGTGCCCCCTGGGCGTGGAGCCGTGATTCATCGTGCTGGGGGTCCTTTGCCCCCCCCCCCCCCACGCCAGCACCCAGGAGAGGCGGGAGGTCTCGCTTACGAGAAAGGAGCAGAGGCACGGGGCCATCTCACCAGCCCCCTTCAAGTGTCTTCCAAGTGGCCTGGGAGCTGCTTATGGGGGTCTGAGGAGAAAGCAGGGGGGCCAGCCGCCGCCTCTCAGGTGCAGGGCCCCTTGCCCCAGCCCCCCCAGCCTCCCAGCCTCTCTGGGCCTCCAGGACCCCTACTCATCCCAGAAGGGTGGCCCTGAACTGTGATGCCTGGGAGCAGGGGGGAGGCAGGGTGTAATGGGGGCCTTCCTGCCTGTGCCCCCACATCCTGGCCTCCCACCTGCCCGACTCCTCTTATGGGATCTCAGGGCAGCAGCTGGGCCTGCCCAGAGGAAGGAGGGCTTTCCTGGGCTTACCCACCCGCTCTTGGCTGTGCCCGTGCATCCCTGCCCCACCCCTCCCAACCCCCCTGGCTGGAGGGGGCTCCCATGTTTCCATGGAAATGGCGGCTCCCCACCCCCCCCCTTGCTGACCCCCACCCAACATCGAACAAAGCACAAACAGTAAGCACTCCCCCCCTCACCCCCTGGGGGCGGGGGGAGCAGGCAGGTTGGTGGGGCCCCTCCCTCTCCCCCCGCCAGCTTCTGTCGCCATGGCAACTGAGGACCTGGCAGTTGGGACTGTTGGGTCCCTGGGGGTTCTCTCTCAGTGGGGGCGGCAGAGGGTGGTAAGGGAAGGCAGGGCCAGGGGGGCTGCGGCCTTTTCTCAACAGCTAGGGGCTTCCAGGTTTGAGTCTGGGCGGGGGCAGATCTGGGGTCCTGACACTAGGGGGGCTTAAACACACTGTCCGGGTGCTTGAGGGGCCCTTCACCTTTGATTAGGATGTGGGCCACTGGGGGTGGGGACAACTATAGCTCTGCCCACCTGCCAATGTGCTCCTTGGCTCCCCGCCCGCCTCAAGATGAAGAGGGGCCCACTCAGCTCTCCCCACACCCCTGCTGGGCCCCCCCCCACCCCGGCCTCTGGCCTATCACCCAGTTGGGTTTCTTGAGATTTGCAGAGTGTGGCTGTGGGGTGAGGGTGGGCACTGGGATGGGACCAAGACCTGTACTGTTGGGGGTGGGGTTCGGATCAGGAAAGCTAGTGCTATCTCCTGTGGTGGGGGGGGGGGGGAGCTCTGGCGATCTTCCTGCCGGGGGTAGAGTCTGGGGGAGGACTGTGGGGAGGACTAGGGCTCACCTGAGCACCTCTCTTACACCCACGTGGGGGACAGACCAAGCCCAGGGCTCACTTCGGGGGTGACGTTTGCAAAGAGAGGACCGTTCTTCTGGGGAGTGGAGGGGAGGGGCCGGCATGGATGTGCGGAGCAGACCTCCCTCAACCCCCCAAACCTGCCCCCCACCCCCACCCCTCCTCGCACCAGATTGGCAAAACTGAGAAGAGCAAGCCGGCGGAGCCAGTGGTGTGAGAAAGCAGATTCCCGTTACATTTGCATGACGATTTTACTGTATTTTTCTGAGCAAACATCTGTCGTGTATGTGCCAGTTCGTCCGGACTCCCGGGCCCCCCTCCCTGCCGCCCCCCTCTTGCCCCCACTCCCTCTGTTGTGATCTGACAAGCAGCTCTTGAAGCCTGGGGTGGGGCCACTTCTGCAAAAGACCCAAAGCAGGTGCCACCAAAACGCAGCCCCTGTCCCACACCCGTCTCCTGTCTGTCTGCGCATGGGGCCCCACAAGTGCCGCCTCGCCCCTTGGGTCCCCAGTTTCGTGCCCTCGCCCCTGCCCCGCCTCCCTGCCGGGGAAGGGTAGCCCCAGGGAAGGGAGCGTGGGAGGACCTCTGTGTCCCACTTGCTGACATTTTTGGGGGGGGTGAAAGAGTTGGGGGCCCCCGGAGAGGGAGGGGAGGGGCTGGGTGATTTGGCCACCAGGTTGGGGGAGGGGGTCAGTCACGCGGCTGAATGCAGGGGCCTAAGAGCTCGGGGGGGGGGGGGGGGGGCCCGGGGGGGGCGGGGCCCCCGGGGCGGGGGCCCCCCCCCGGGGGGGGGGGGGGGGGGGGGGGGGCGGTGGTTCCCAGCAGGACCCCCACCCTCGCCATTCCCCCCATCGTTCCTGGTTGAAGAGACCTGTAAAAACCTCAGACCATCTCACTTCAGGGACCTTAAGGATAGGTCCGCATCTTAACAGCAGGGGTCTTGCCCCTCCCTCCAGGAGGTAAACCAGCCTTCACGGTCTAGATGATACCAATCTGGGAGGCAGAATAGGACTGGAGTCGGGCCTCTGGCCTCCCAGCCAGGCTCGGGGCTTCAGCTGCTTTCCCCTGATCTGGGAAAGGGGCCAGTGCACTGTAGCCCCCCCTGGAGGCTCTCCTGCATCTGTGTCCTGTGTCCGGTTCAGGATAATTCTTCCCCAGCGGGGAGCAAAATAGCCACGGAAGACAAACGATCATTTATGTCAAAGAGTCCGGCCTGCTGACGCCCTGTGTTTGCAATGGCCGTGAGCACAGTGCACCTGGGCCACAGCCCGGGGCCACCGGCTAGCAGGGCGGTCAGCCAGGAGAGAAGGGAACGGGGCAGGCTACTGGGGAGACGGACGGAGATGTGGGTGCTTAGCCCTGGACCGCCTGGGGGAGGCCCCCCTTGCCTTGGGTCGCGCCTGGGCTTGCTGCCCCTGTCAGAGAATCTCCAGAGGAAATTCTTGGGTGCCTGTCCCCGGGGAGCGGTGTCAGTGGGTCTGTTTTCACCTGGAGGGCTGGCACCTTCTAGAGGCGAAAAGTGGAGGTCTGGAGGGGCAAAGAAACCCTTAGTCTGGCGTGACCCCTCCTCAGGGGGCCCGGGGCCTGCCCCTGCCTGCTGGAGGCCCCTCACCTCCGCACCCCTCCTAGGGGCCAGTGCCGGAGGACTGTGGAGGCTGCCCGTGTGCAGGCCTGGGGGAGGTGATGGGGCTATCTGCAGGGTGGTGGGAGTGGAAAGACCCACTTCCGAAGAAGAGGAGGCCTGTGTTAGCCCCAGAGAGGCAGGGGAGAGCCTGGGCCTGGCCGCAGGTCTCGAAGGTTCCCAACTGGGAGTAAGTCACCCGTCCCCACTCCTGGAAATTTTCACAGAGTGGAAACAGAAGCTCAGGAAAGGGAAAGGAGGAAATCTTCTAGGGTCTCGAAACCAGTTAGGGACAGGCTGAGCCCAAGAAGGGGCCCAGGCATGGGGGACGAGTCACAGGTCCCGGCTTGTAAGGGGCTTACACGCAGAGAAGGGACAGCCACCAAACGTTCCCCGGGCAAGGGATACTGTGAAGAGAATGAAAACAGGGTGATGGAATGGAGAGGGGGGTTTGGGGCACCCCCGAGAAGCAAGCTCAGAGGACTAGTCCACCGGCCGTGAAGACGAGGCCAGAGGGAGAGGGGGAGGAGGGGCTGGATGTCCCCAAGCACCTCCTCGGGCGCCTCCACTATGGGTCCCACCCCCTCCGAGGGAGCCTACCCTTCAGCATCCCACCCCATTCCTGGCCAAGCGGGACAGGGGGGGGGGGCTGGGGGGGGTGTGACCCCTGAGGGGCAGGGCTGACTGATGCTGGCCCAGTGTGAAGGGTGGGGCTTGTCTGACCCCCCAGTGCTCCTCCCCTCCCGCCCCCAGATTTCCTCTCCCCAGCGCCCCCCCCCTCCAGGAGCTGCCGTGCTCCTTGTCTATTCTGAGCCTGTGTCCTTCCCCCTTGAAGACAGAACTAGTAGTTACACTTTTTGCCTCTCACGCCTGCCCCAAAGGCCTCACTAAAGGTCCCTCACTGCTGCTGAGCAGTAGGGAGGGGAAGGGGGGGTCAAAGAGGGTGGGTGGGAAGCCTTGGGCCTCCCTTTCCTTTCCTTGCCCCTCGCCAAACAAGCACAGGGCTGGATGGGGGCAGGGGGATCCCTCCTCGCCGCCTGCCTCCCTCCTTCCCTCCCTCCCTCCGCGAGGAGCCGCCAGCCCCATGGGCCCTGCGGCTTGGCACCTGGTTTGGGTACGGCAGGGGCTACCCTGGGCTACGAACCTGTGAACCCTAGCTGTGTGTGGACCTTTCCTTCCTCGGGGGGGGGGGCCCCGAAACCTCTCCTTATCTTGTTTTAGGGGGGTACCTTCATTTACTTTCTCTTCCCTCTCCCCCCTCTCCCCGATCTCCTGTTTTAAACTGAATGGCACGAAATTGTTTTCCTCAACTCGGAGATTCCTGTATGGAGAGAATCAATTTCTATATTTGCAATAAATTTCTTATTTAAAACGATGGGGCCAAGGTCTGTGTTGAATGTTGCCCGCCCCCGCGCCCACCCCCACCCCCCGCCAGGTGGGGAGTCCCAGAACGTCCACTTTCTGGTGCCCCCGTGCCCCACTCTGGCTCTCACCAGAGCCTCACACACGGGGTGAGGAAATGGGGCCCACTGGATGGGCAGTCACCACCCATGGCCAAGGACAAAAGTGTGTCTGCCGGAGGGCAGGGGCCAGCAGGAGACTAGAGGGTCACTGTCCCCCCCCCCCCCCACATCCTGCAAGCCTGGTGGGCTAGGGGCCTTGATGGCTTCTCTTCCTGAAAACCGGAGGGGGGGGGGCCCTCTGCCAGCTGCTGTCGTTCCCCTGGCTGGTGGCCCGGCCTCCATCGTCGGCTGCTTTCAGTCCGACCTGAGAGATGGACGGGGCGTGGGCATTACTAAGTCTTGGCTGATGCCCGGGGATTATGGCCCCTAGACAGTGGCCCAGGACCTCGATTTCCCATAGGCCTGCTTCTAATTGCGCTGTGCCCTCAGGGCGGGGAGCTCTGCCAGCTCAGGCCTGCAGCTGGGGTGGCCCCGGGGTCCCCTGCCCAGCTCAGGCTCAGGGCCACCCTTCTAGTGTCTCCATCATCACGGGCCTTTCCTCTTGGAGGGTTCCTATTATTCCCAAGGATATGAAGCCATGACCGAAGGTGGGCTTGAGCCTGGGGGTTCCAAGACAGTCCAGGTCCTTCCATTTCTGCTATCCCGGGCTCCCCAGACCCCCGAGGGCCTTCCCTGGAGACTAAAGAGGGTAATCTGCCGTTGCTGGGAATTCGGAAGGTGTGCTCAAGGACAGCCCCTTACCTTTTCACTTCAGCCCAGAAGTTGTGCTATTTATAAATCTAGTAGATTTTGACATTCACATTTAAGGGGATTTGGGTTAATTTAGGTCCTGTTGACAAAGGCAATTAACCAAATGTCCTGAACGACCCCCAGATTTTATCCCGAAGCTCAGTATATCTGATTTCCTTTTTAAATACTTCATTTATTTGAAGAACAAACAAAACCTTACATCCTGACAAATTTCTGGTTGCTCCTGGGGTGACTTTGGCTTCTTGTCATGTACCGATCTTCTTATCACATGAGTGGTGTTTCAAGGAAAATCACAATTCTGAGTTACTTCCTTGTACACAATCCGTTTGAATTTCAAGGACACCGGTGCCTTGAAGAGCAAATATCACAAATAGCCGCAACACTAAATATGCCCAGATATCTTTTTTTTTTTAAATATTTTATTTATTCTTGAGAGACAGAGACAGAGCATGAGTGGGGAGGGGCACAGAGAGAGGGAGACACAGCATCGGAAGCAGGCTCCAGACTCCGAGCTGTCAGCCCAGGGCCCGACGTGGGGCTCGAACTCATGAACCATGAGATCATGACCCGAGCCGAAGTCGGACGCCCAGCTGACTGAGCCACCCAGGCGCCCCTAATATGCCCAGATATCTTAACACAAACGTTAGTTGTACAGATGTGACACGTTTTGTTTTATAGTGACATCGAATTCTCCCCGGGGTGAGGAAGTTGTCCTCCAGGAAGGACACAAACGTCACCCAGTGGGTCCGCCTCGTGGGCACCTCACTGGCTGAGCTGCGATGTAGTGGGGATTTCGGCTGGGGCCGGGGTCTGGGCGCTACAGACAGAGGAGACCCCACTTTTACGCTTTCTGGGTTGTCCCCTCTATAAGCGGGGGCTCTCTCAAGCCAGTGCCTGCAGGTGACCTGGCTCTTCTGTCTTCTCCAGGAAATCTGCAGCCCCATCCGGTGCTCCCAGCCCTGAGCTGTCAGCTCAGGACTGCTGCCGCCTCAAGACTCATGAGCGCTCCTCCCACATACGCGGGCTCCCACTTTGCCAGGTGCTCCTCGGACGTCCCCCTGGGCTCCGTCCGGGCCTCGTTTGAAGGTGTTCACAGTCCCAAGGTTATTCTGTGACCCTGTCATCGCTGCTGGCCAGCGTTCAGTTGGCTTGGCTCAATTCCTCTCCCCCAGGCTCCCGCCTTCCCTTCGCAACAGCAGAACCTCTCCCTCTGGGGATGCCTGCACAATGAGCCCTTGTGCCCCAAGGGCACCGGGGACATCGCTGGGTCTCACCTGGTTCTCAGAGGCAAGTCTCTGAAGTCATGGCCCTGGCCACCCCAGCCCCTGGTGTGTGACCCCCCCCCCCCCCACGGGCTCACTTCTCCCAGGCCTACCTGCCTGTCTCGACCTCTTGGGTGGTCAAGGCATCGGTGGGACCCAGAGGTCTCCTCCTGTAGGCCACAGCCAGGGCAGGAGCCGGCCTGGCAGACCCCTGACCTGGGCTTTGGACCTGGGTCGGCAGTCCCTGGGGTCCTCGTGGCTCTTGGCCCATGGGTCTTTTGTGATCCCTTTCACCTCCCTGAGAGTGACCTGGTGTGGTCCCTGGTGCGGACCG